GTGGGTTTGCAAGGGAGGGGTGTGCAGGGGGCCGTGCGAGGGCTGTGCGTGCAGGTGGGTGTGCAAGGGAGGGGTGTGCAAGGGAGGGGTGTGCGGAGGGCCGTGCGAGGGCTGTGCATGCAGGTGGGTGTGCAAGGGAGGGGTGTGCAAGGGAGGGGTGTGCGGAGGGCCGTGCGAGGGCTGTGCATGCAGGTGGGTGTGCAAGGGAGGGGTGTGCAAGGGAGGGGTGTGCGGAGGGCCGTGCGAGGGCTGTGCATGCAGGTGGGTGTGCAAGGGAGGGGTGTGCAAGGGAGGGGTGTGCGGAGGGCCGTGCGAGGGCTGTGCATGCAGGTGGGTGTGCAAGGGAGGGGTGTGCAAGGGAGGGGTGTGCGGAGGGCCGTACGAGGGCTGTGTGTGTGCAAGGAGGGGGTATGTACAGGGGCGTGCGTGCACGTGGGTGTGCAAGGGAGGGGTGTGCGCAGGGGCGTGTGTGCAGGTGGGTGTGCAAGGGAGGAGGATGCAGAGGGCCAGGTGGGGGAGGGCTGGGCATGCACATGGGTGTGCAAGGGAGGATTGTGCGGAGGACTGTGCGTGCAGCTCAGTGTGCAAGAGACAAGCATGTAAAAGGCCATGTGAAGGAGGGCCATGCCTGCATGTGGGTGTGCAAGGGAGGAGTGTGTGCAGGGCCGTGCAAGGGCTGTGTGTGCAGGTGGATGTGCAAGGGAGGGGTGCGCAAGGGAGGAGTGTGCACAGGGCCGTGCGAGGGCTGTGCGTGCAGGTGGATGTGCAAGGGCAGGTGGGTGTGCGGAGGGGTGTGCGAGGGAGGGGTGTGCGGAGGGCTGTGCGTGCAGGTGGGTGTGCGCAGGAGGGGTGTGCACAGGGCCGTGCGAGGGTCGTGCGTGCAGGTGGGTGTGCAAGGGAGGGGTGTACGGAGGCCCGTGCGAGGGAGGGCCGTGCCTGGACGCAGGCACATGGGAAACGTATGCGCTTGGGTGTGCGAAGGAGGAGGGTGCGCAGAGAAGGAAGGGGTGGCACGGGCGTGCGAGGGAAGGGTGTGTGTCAGCGCTGCGGCGAGTTCGCCCGGCCTCAGCCCTGGTGCCCGCAGTTGGCGAGCCTGGCG